CAAGGGATCTTATTATGATTAGTATCATTTAAGGGCCCCTCCAGGGATTTTGTTGCTAATTTGCCCTTTCGGGCTCCAAAGGCCTTGTTTTGGGATTTTGTTACGGTTTACAGTTGTAGTAAAAAGTGGGCCTTCCCTTTTTCTAATGCTCGTCGCATTGCTTCTTTGCAATTGATTACGCCACTCATATTAACACTTTTAGTATTCTTATCTCTTAGTTTTTAGGATTTGTTTCTTGTATTTTGTCTATTGCGTTCTTTGTAATTAGGTTTTTTGTTTATTAGCACCAGTTCATTAGTCGTTATCTGTAATTATGTAATCATTAGCACTTCGATCCTATTTAAAGCTCTTTTTTTATTTCAAAAGTTGTAAAGAACTGAAGAAGGTCTCTGACCGAAACGCTTTTCATTAAAATCTTTTACATTTTTTAACGTCAGAAGTTGTCCATCCACGCAATTTTTTAAACTTTCTACGTTCGTGTTGGCTGTGAGGTTTGGACTGCGAATCTTTATTGATCCTCCTGGCGCGGTGCACCTTTGTTGGCCTAAGAGTTCCATTAACGACTATATATATTCTGTATACGAGGGAAACCGTGACCCTGTACACCCCAAATAATCATACTTAAATAGAATAAATGTTTGAAAAGAAATTTGCCCTAAGCGGGGTTTGAACCCTCGTCTCCCTGTTAAACTAGTCAGGTGTAATGACCACTACACTATCAGGACAACCATGCTGGCAACACGGCAATCGAAGATGTGATTTACGTGATCGGAGACATGGTCTCCCGGAAAACTTAATTTTCAAGGTGACAGGGTAGGGGAAGCCTATAACCCCATATGAAACCCAGCTAAGGATCTATTAAAGATACACGAGCGAAGTCAACTTAGCGGATGACAAAGGAGGATCCAATTACAGATACAGGCTAATTTCAATTAAACAAATTCTGCATACGAGGGAAAGCCTGACCCTGTACACCACAAATAATCATACTTAAATAGAATAAATGTTTGAAAAGAAAATTTGCCCTGAGCGCGGAATTTGAACCCACGTCCCCCTGTTACTGGTCAGATGTGACGACCACTTTAGTGAATCAGGTGTGATGACCACTACACTACAGGTGCAACTGACGAGCGAGGACTACCACACCCTTTCAAAACAGTTCTGTAGTGCGAAGTTTGAATTTTTTTCCCTATACAATTGATTACAAAGCTCCATGATTGTAGAGCACTCTCCGATTCGAGGATAAAGTTTTTTATGTTTATCCCTAAATTGACCTGACCTGATCTGTAAATGTATTTTAAACTCGCGCATGCCCGAGGCTTGGCCGGTGTGTTCCTGGAACCTAAAGCGTTTTCTTCTTTATTACGTCACGATGGTCTCTGAAACAGCAAACTTATGTAGATTTTGCAGAATGGTGACTGCTTATCGCTTGGGAATCAGCTACAGAAGTAAGCCAATTATACAACAAGGTCGGGTGATAGTATATGAGATCAAAATGATTTGCCCCACCACCAACTGATCGCATGCGCCATACCACAATTATTCAGCTTACTGTAATTCTTTCACAATGGTTTACAGTGGACCACAGTTTGTTAGCGAGCAAGACCACCTTTAAGTGTTTCACCCCATGGTGAACGAAGATCGCATATCGTCCAGCTGCGCAGAAAACGTTTTGCATCATTTAGAAAGAGAGATACGAGAAATAATTTTATACTTTTAAAAACCTCTGCCTAAGTTTGAATTTTAATTGTTGGTTCGGAATTTTTTCCGTTTCACGACGTTCATGTTCATCGATTTCGCTTTCAAATTGTAATATTCATTTTTATTTTTTCAGTCACTAAAGACACAAAATACATTAAAAATTTACAGCGTGTCAAAGAAAAGATAATAGCTTTGTACTGTTTGGGTTCATTGTTTTATTTGACACTTCATTTTATGTTTGGCCAATAAACCGGCTCAGACGCCCAACAGATAATCAATTTCGCCTCCCACTTGCAACAGACGTTTTCTTCCTGTTCTACCAAAAAAAAAATATTCATTCGACACGACGATCGAGATAAACCAAAGAGATCGCAATTTTTTTTCTGTGAAAACTGAATCTCAACACCACTAACGATTACAATCGAGAATTCCGTTGCAAATTGCGGTGTTGCAATTTCGGAAAAGTCATCTATTTTTAACCCAGGCATTGAGAATGTTTTTCTATAAGTTCTTCCTGTGCATTTTTCCGGTAGTTTAGCATTTCTTTTGAGTAGAATGCATTTATTTTCGAATTTATTTAATCTGGATTTGCATCAACAAAATCTTAGCGACACATCGAGCGGAATTAGACTTCAGCGATCCTCTACGATTATAAATACAGACTTTTCACACATTGAATTTCTACCACGCGCCTTAAGAAATGTAATTTTTTAAAAAGAAGATGGCTTTGAAAGTCGTCAACGGACTTCTACTCCTTTGTTTACTTCAGATTTTGGTAGGTCAACTTTATATTCAAACAATTTTATTGTTGACTTCACTTTTCAATTCTCTCCAGTATAATGCTTATGAAACATGGACTTTCTCTCAAATCTGATTCTTATATCGTTCTTCATTCATATTCAGAACGATTTCAATGGAATATATGGCTTGTCGAATCGTCGGCTTCAGCGACCGAAGTCTTTGAAAGGAAAATTATCCGATCATGAAAACTCTAGACTACACGAGAATTTGTTTGAGCAGCGCCAAAATATTCGTGGATCTTCCTTTCTGGGAAAAACTGCGGGCAAATCGCAACAGACGGAGAATTTTTTCAAAGCTGAAGACAATGAGGATGGAAATTCGCTGATAAACATGAAGAAATTTCTAAACAGGCCTTATCACGGTGGAGAATCGACTAAAAAGGTGTATTCTTCGCAGGAAGCAACACCATCATTTGTCCAATCGGTTCGAAGATTGAACAAGGACTATGTATTTCGAAACGTTGTTTACGACGACAACTTCAAGTCTTACGGTAAGCGCTAACGTATCTTTAATAGGCGAAAAACAATTTATCTTTTTTTTTATGATTAAAGATATAATAATTTCAGAATTCAAATTTTGTGTAAGGGTTAACTCAGATGAGACTGAAACTCAGCGTGTCTGTGATTGATATCTGATTTTCCCTCGGGAAACACAAATAAATAATATGTTTCAAACTGAAATTGAGAAGAGCATAGAGTTCGCTGAGTATATCAATTTGTGGGGTTACGAAATTTGCCGAAAAAGCCCGCGGCGATTATTAGAGATATAAATATATCTGTCTGCCAAACGAGTGTCATATGTTATGTTCTTTTGTATGTAAACCGTGTTCTGTGCAGCTGGTATAGTTCTTTATTCAAAAGATAATAATAGTCGATCTGAAAGAAGCTATGAGAGCACACATACCACCCATGGAATTCACGGGGTTGTTTTCTTTTTAGTTCTGAAAAAAAAAAAAAAACAACCAAAAAAAAACAACCAAAAAAAAAAAAACAGAAAGAAACAAGGCGTGCTGAGTTTGCTCTAAATATCTTTTCCTCGTGTTATTTCTTTAGTCTTTGCTGTTTTTGACGAAAAAGTGTGTTACAACTAGAATCACATTTTATTAAAACAATAGTCACAAACCTGGTTTATAAAGATCAGTTGACTTAATTGTTTTTCGCCGAATTGAATCTTTTTACTAGCAATTCCACCAAAACCACATTCTAAACCGCTTCATTCGAAAACTAACCGTTTACTTTACAATTTTTGTATGATTGATTTTGTTTTTAAAGCGATCACGGGGTGAAAAAAGCGAAATAAAACGCCGTTTTAGATCATTTTGATTTACGGAATACTGCAAAAATTTGGTTTGTTTTACTGGTGCAGTTACGAAATAGTCATATTGCCGGGCTTCAAGAGATGTGGCCATGGAAAAGGATATTAAAATTGTTGAAAAGGAAGACCGTCTCTACATTATCGTAAAGTATCGGAACTCAAACAATGTTCAAGGGAAATTCTCACAGGTCACTGTTTTGAGTTTCTTTGCTTGCAGAGTTTTGTTTTTCGTTGTAAAAAAATTCACTAACTGAACCTAGATGTTTTAAATGACTCATAGCAGGTTTGAGCATAAATGATCGATGTTAGGGAAATCTTTCAAATTAAACTATCAACGAAGAAACTAAAAATGTCAGAGACCCCTTGTAGAGAAAAATACTGTAACGGTGATTGGTTTAAAACAATCTTAAAGATATAATACACAAATTATAAACAAAATGAACGGAGAAAATCTAAATTGGAAAACAAAACCTGCGGGACAATTCCAAAGCAATCTGGGCGACAACACAAAAGGGAAAACATTGCTCATAAATCTCAGAAATTTCTAAATGATTATTTTCATCGAATTCGGGCTATTTTTGCCAATCTTAGAATTTTGTGAATGGAAAATCCTTGTAGACGTTCGCATGTTTCTAATGAACGACGGAATCAGTTGATTAAATTTTTTGGTAATGAACGCGTCGAAAAGAAACCATTAGATTGAAGCAAAAAAAAATTTAGAATAATGACTTTTTAAGAATTAGCTTTGGCTTTCAAGGTTCCTGATAGTTCTTCAGCTTTCAAATCTCTCCGAAAAAAAAAAAAAAACACAGAATAAGTGTTTTTCAAATAGAAAACTCTTTTATTAACAATAAGTATGATTTAATAGCCACGTCTGACGCACCAAAGTAATTTGTATCAGCGTAAATGATCGTGCTCGAACCGATGAAAACCATTCACGAAGTGCTTAATGAAATGTAGTTACGTCATTCAAGATGGCCTGCTTTATTTAAAAGTGCAGGATCAATATATCTCTCAATAAAAGGCTTATGTCATTCAACCATTAACAAAGAAAATTTCGTTCGAGAGGCAAACATCAAAACTAGATTACGTACACTCTCTGCTGATGGATGGATCTTTCACCTCTCACACCTTTTCCACTCAAACCGACTTATCTTGAACAAATTGCATTTGATGGTCGCGGTTTTAAACCGCACGTCAGAAAGCTAATATTTGCTTCAGTACAAGATATTTGATGATTTTCCGATAGATAACTTCTGATGTTGCATTCAAGGTATATTGGAAGCAACAATCTCACAAGCTTTCGTGTACCATATGTGCACGACCTCTTCGTCAAGGGAGAGCAAAGTCTCACAAAGAAGAGATGAAATATAGGATATTAAAATTGAGTTAAAAGTCTAAATTTCTCGCAAGAATAAGGTGGGTAATTCCTAGACAAAATATTTTGGCTGGTAGCTATAAAGAGGAGGCCAAATTAACTGACATATTGTCTGCAATCATAAATTTAAAGCAATCATATAAGCAATCATATTCGGAATTAAAAGCAAATTAATTTTTTTGTTTGTCACCGAATCCCAGTTAGTTCTTACATTTATACGTTTTTTTTCATAAAAATCCAATGAATGAGCGAAAGCAAAATTTACTATTTCCGAAAAAAAAAAAATTAAACTGATAACAAAACATCTGCATATATCGTAGACTTTGGAAATTTGATTATGTCTGTACACCACGTCCCGGTCCTAATTGTGAAGATGGAAATGATGAGAAGCTTGCAATAAGATTTTCCAAACTCTTGGGGAAAGGAAGTTAAAAGCATTTTTCAAAATGGAGAGCAAATATTTCGCTAACTTATTCAAACTCTTAGTTTATTTTCAAATCGTGAAAGGCTAAAAATTGAATTTGATACGAATGGAACCATGAATGTGAGCAAGGATAAATTTAAATCTTAACTAAATTTCGACGCTTGCTTATGATAAATCATTTTGCAAATTTTTAAATGGTTATTGTGTCTATTGTCTTCCACATTACTCGGTCTTTGGCACGTTTCAACCAGTTTTGATTTATTTTTTCCCTTTTCAAACAATTTTTACCTGTATATCCTTCGTCCATTTTTCAAGGTGTCATGTATAAGAAAGGAATTTCACAATTGGAACTAAATAATGAAATTATCTGGCAAGTTATCAAGTTACTCTTGTTATTAGCATACAAACCAGGGGGAACTTATGCGACAAAATTTCCCATATGAACGGAAGAGTCTTTCGTTTCATTGTATATTTTTGCTCAGTCTTGATTTATTTGTTTGAAGAATCAATAAAGTTATAGCTTCGTGTAAATCGGAATATTTCTCAGGAAAATGTTCCCTTTAATTTTTCCAGCTAGAAGAAATGCTACCTCGTGGTTTTGTTGACGTCAAGGCGTATAATTTGGTTGCGATGGTGTGTGATAAATTGACATATGTGGTAACACCCGGTCGCCTGGGTGTATGATTTTAGATGTTTGTCGGTAGGAAGTCAAATATGACCTTTTATAGAATTAGCTTTAATTTTAGATTTCGAGAGCGGGGAATAACACCAATATTTACAACTAACGATTACGAAAATATTGAGTGTTGAAGTTCCTTAGCGCTTTTCAACTGTGTCGAACCTAATATAGTATAGCAATAGTATGTTTTACTTCGCTCTCTTATCGGTTTAGAAAACTAGCGAAAACCTCTTAAAAACAGACACGACATGGTCACTCCTCCTCACCCACGCCTCAAGCTTTACTTTCATGTGAGGTTTTTTTTTTTCACTCTACAAGGTGGATTTTTTTTTAAGTTTTGTGAATGAAAACCTCGAGCTCTGTACTGTTTTTCATATTCTAAAAGGTAATTCTTACTTTAACATGAACAAATAAGGCTTGATTGTGCGGCTTATAGATTAAACCGAAATGCAAGGTATTTTTCATTTATTTTAGGACATTGTGTCACTGTAGAGCATTTTACGATTCTGTATCGTAAAAGCAAAACGACTGCTGAGAGAAAGGAAAATACCACGAAGAGCAAATAAAAACTCCAAGTAAAAACAAGCCAACTCCAAAAGAGCGGCAAAACACGGGTATACGTAACCAAGTCGTGGTCGGATTTATTTTTGCATGCTATTAGCTGCGTGTGAGGGTGGGTAGACTTTTCTGGACCAATTACAAAGCGAAGTTATATTAAGCAAAAACCAATCCATTCTCGGACCACTATCCAGACTCAATTGAAAACTGCTGTAGGAGGGGAGGTAACATTTAGAACACTATGTTGTCTTCCCGGGGATCCTAACAACATTTTCTCTCATTTCTCAACAGCAGTAGCCTACTCTCCAAAGGAACATTCAGAAACTAATTGGTACATCACAGCTGTGGCCGGGGCTGTTATTTTGGTAGTTGTTGTGGCCCTCTGCGTTCATGTCCCTTGGGGTTGCCTGTGGGGGCGCCAATGAAGTGAACACGATGCCAGTTGTCCAATCGCAGCTTCAGAGAAAGGAATGTGCGGAAAATGTATGCTGCACAGAAATGAAACCACAAACACCATGACTTATAGCGAAAAACCGCATCACGCCAGTGTTACCATGGCTACCAGCAACAAGCATCATCGAGCAAGTTCAGGGAGCTTTTATTCACAGGTAGATATCTTCAAATCGTATCATATTTTCCTGCGCTTATTTGTCATATATATGAATGGGATCGACTGAAGTATTATCAGAAAGTTAAAGTGACTGAATGACTGGCTGACTGACTGCTGTTTCCCTTTAATTTCGGATTGACTAACAGACTGATACATTTTAGAGGTATGTAGGACGCATGTTATATATGAACATTTATGTAGTAATGGCCTCGATGATTCTGGAGTTCTCTGTAGCTTAGTAGAAGAGCATTAGAGTGGCCGGGGAACCCGAATTAAGATCTGGCGTTCGATTCCTCTCGGGAACTCAACATTTCTATTCGTCTAACGCTTGAGACGAAAACAAATGACATTTATAACATAACCAAAGTAAAGCGCGCGCTCTGATTGGTCAATTTAGCGTCCCCCATTTGCCCATGGGTGTACGCTGCTGATGTGAGCAAATGCAAAGACTATTTTTACGCGCGCGCTTGTTTTTTCTGGTCGCGTAAGATTTGTTAAATAAAAGGGAACACTTTAGCTACAATGTATCAATGTTAGGTTATAAAACAAATGGTAAACACCACAGCGTACACTATTGAGTTATGGATGCACTTGGGAGGTTTGCTAAGCACTCAAAAAGCTAAAGTCGCTCTCACGCTTCTTTCGTGCTTAGCAACCTCCCGCGTGCATCCATAACTCAATAGTGTACGCTTTGGTGTTTACCATTTGTTAACTAGAATGTTTCTAGAAGTTAAAGAATCAGAAGGCAGAATCTCCATCCTTGTTTCTGCTTTATCTATTTGATTTCTGTTCCGCAGAACTCTTTGCCACATAACACTAAACAACATGGGAAACTAAATCAAGCCAAAAGTAAAGTATCAAGCTTGTTTAAGGGATCACACGGAAGCCACTTTTACGAGCCTGCAGGATATCGTTACAAACGCCTGAGAACTACAGAAAAAAATGAATCACAGCACACCAATTATGAACCTGAATGGACGAGTATTGGTGCCTTTTTGAATCGAAGACCCAGCAGTTACGGAAGCACGAGAGAATCTAAGGAAAAATTTGTGGATCGCTATGGAAGACGGTCACGTGATTCACTTGACGCAGACGACGAGGTGGTAGAGTACGCCCTAAAACTCCGGCCCCGGAGACGGCAGATGATAGAGCTGCAAGAGTTCCCCCTGGGATTTTCAAAGAGCTATCTAAACATCGACTTAGAGTCTGACCCCGGGGTTGTTTTTGACCCGTGCCGGGATCAACTGCGCAGGAAGAAGACCAAGGCTTCCGGGAGATTGACTTTCTCTGACTCTGATTTAAGAAAGCTCTCCTGTATGGACAAACTTGGAACGTACAATGATTCGGAAAATCTGTTTGATGGTGGAAAAAAACGGAGGAAGAGCAGTTTGAAAACAGGATCTAGAAAAGGAAAGTCAAATGCAAAAGTTGTGACCTTCTTTCCATCTAACTTGAGCTACGATGCACAATTTGTTCAAATTCTCCCAAGAGACAAAATGGCGGAAACTAAAGAGGGAGAATTCGAGAAACGTTTCATTTCTCTTCATCGCGAACCTCAAAATAGTTTATCACGTATTGACACCAAGGCCACACCCAGCCTCAACCAGACCAAGGCTGGTTTTAATGATCTTAGGAAAATCGCTGGGAACACAAAAGATGAGTTTCCTTTCACTGACAGCCAAAAGGCAAAAACCAAAGAACATGCCATAGATTGTGACATGAATGTGCAAAGTTTCTACATGGAGGATAAGAGAGATGAAATGCTACAAACACGTGACTGTGCCAGCTCCTACATTAATTACGGTTGCAGATCTTCCACAGAAGTCTTAACTGAGTCTAAAGAAAAACTGACTGGCAATTTTGAGTCGCTATCAAGTTCATTTTCAGATTTGCAGAAGAGTGATCGCGTTTACAAGCCGGAGCCATTGGCTGGACTGCTCTCCCCAGTTCGCAGAGCAAGTCCAAAGAGAGGTACCAGAAAGGATATCGTGACGTCACAGGCTGCGGGAGACTTGGTCTGTGTTAGTTCATACGTACAACCGCTGAGTTTAGGAAGCCCCAAGAGAGCAGCGTCTAACGGATGCAATATCTATCAACCCCAACTTGATGATACGAGGCCATTTCAATCCCACAAATCACAAAGTGACTTTGAACAGGAGATGTTGCGCATGGAAAAAACGTCATGTTATGATTCCCTTCAGCAATATCCAGAAAAGGAAACAAGAACTGAGAGCTGAAAGGATGTATCATGAAATCATAAGCTGAATTGAGTTGATTCAAAATCGATTTACTCAGGCTAACCGGATAATGCAATTTATCGTGTTGCGAAAGTGTGACTGTCAGTGACTTGGCAGTGTAGACAAAAATTATTTCGGGCTATGAGGATTATTTTTCCATTGACAAATCTCTAATTTCAGTAGCCATTTTAGAGGAGATCTGTCTGGCCCTGATCAGCTGTAAACGATCAGAAATTACGATCAATTTAGCAAGTTTCACAAGTTCTTACTCATCAGGTCTGACTGAGACTTAATGAGATCCTGCCATGCCTAGATTCAGCTGGAAGGGACCATGAATGAAGAATAAAGACTCACCTCAAAATTTCGCCTCGACTTTGTTGTTCTATGTACGTACAGTTTTGAATGTCCCCTCGGGTGTATTTCCTCCACATCGTGAGCTTATTCCCATTTGTGCTTTAACCTCTGCACCCTAACAACAGCCTGCAACACTCAGGGACCAACACTCAGGGTCTTAAAATAATTGAGGAGAATGTGCTACCTTTCTGTAATATCGAGAAATGGATAGATCTCCCAGTCTTCTCGGATAAGGACGAATAAACCGTAGGTCCCGTCTCTTGCAGGGTTAGGGGTAGGAGACGTTAATTTCCCACGCACGAGATTACTGTGTGGTGGATGTCCTCCCCCGGGATGGGATGGGTGGGTGTAAAATTGGCCCTGAAAAGCCCTATGGGGGAGTAGTCAACTAACGTATGTATGTATGTATGTATGTATGTATGTATGTATGTATGTATGTATGTATGCACATTCCCCATACTGTTCTCTACACATTTTCCGAAGTGTTGACACGGGAAAGTTATGAGTAAAGGGTTAATACAGGGTAAGCTACTGACAAAATGGCTAAAGTAGAATCGATTATTTCACACAACAACAACAACTTCAATATTAATATTGCTCAAAATACATGTAATTAATGATCAAATGCGCATTACATGAAATTAAATTATCGACATTAATAAGTTATCCAGAATAAATAAAAATATTATAAAAAGGCAGTGGATCTATGAAAATATAATACATACATAGTATAAAAAATAGTCCTAATACAAAGCTAACTAAAAAGAGGGTCTTTAGTAATCCTTTGAACCTATTAAAATTATGCTCATTTACGGTATTTGTGATGGTAACCCATTCCACAATTTAGGTGCCGCAGCTAAAAAAACCGCGGTCTCCCAATGTCTTTTAGTTAAAGTTCTTGGCGTTTGAAGCATGATTCTCATTGCAACACGATCTTAAATTGTATCTCTTTTCTTCCTTTTGGCTAATGAGTTCTTGTAGATATACTGGAGCTAGTCCATAAATCGCCTTAAAAGTAACTTTAATAATCTTAAATTGAATCCTAAATTCTACTGGAAGCCAATGAAGGGTACGTAAAATTGGTGAAATGCGATAAAACCTTGGAATCCTAAAAGTAAGTCTTGCTGCGGAATTCTAGTCTGCAGTGCCGGCGTATTTTGGGCGCACGAGTGCACATTTTCGTATTAGGCCGCCATCTTAGATTAGTTAACTGTGGAGGATTGGGGCGAGGAAATATTTACCGAGGGAGTAGGTGTTAAGTGGAAAAATGGGCAACGGGGAAGAGGGAGGGAAAGGAAACACTGCAGGCTAGCGGAATTCTGAAGCCGTTGTAACTTTGCTATTTGTTTAGCTGGTAACCTGTACAAAATACTATTACAATAGTCAATGCGCCCAATTATTAGGGCATGGACAAGTGTCCGGGTTGCTTGGTTGCTTAAATATTTTCTTATTCGTCTTACATTTGTAATGTAAAAATAGTCTCTGCACGTGTTCTTGATGTTAACTTGAAGACTCATGTTACTATCTATCCATGTCCCTAAGTTCTTTACCGACTGAACAGGCTATACTTGAGTGTCCCCTACTGCTGCAAGCGAGTCAATATGAACTTTGGATAGTTGCTGACGGGTGCCTATTATTACAAACTCTGTCTTGCCATCATTGATAATCAGTTTGTCTCACAGCATCCAGGCTCTTATCTCATTTACACACCGTTCCATAGCAACAATGGCATCCTCGGTACTTGAGGGACAGCCAGGTTTAAACGCTAAATACAACTGCGTGTCGTCTGCGTAAGCGTGAACGCTAGGCAGGTGTCTATTGACAACTTCAAACAGTTTACTGGCGTAGAGAGTAAACAATAACGGCCCTAAACAAGAACGCTGGCGAACTCCTTGATTTAATTGTAGAGATTTCGAACACTTGCCACCTAGCGAGACACGCCGAGAACGTCCCGATAGGTATAACGCAAACCACTCCAGTGCTGTTCCTCGGATTCCGAAACTTGTATTCAACCGACATAGTTACACAGAATGTTCCACCGTATCGAAGGCAGGTCTAAAATCCAACAAAAAAAGCAGAACAATTTCTTTACGATGCATTGCCATTAATAGATCATTATATATCTTGAATAAAGCTGTTTCTACGTGCTGTGACCTCGTTTCTACGTAGATTGCAACAAGGGATAGAGATCATGTTCAGAAAGGTGTGCATGAGTGCATAAGACATTTGAGATGAAAAGCTTTCTCTCACGCAACTGCCGTCATACTTCTGTCAAACACTTTAGAGCAAAATGAATGAAAGATTCCGACGGGTTACCAAAATGGTGCGTTTTGGTCTTTGTGGACCCTCACCACATCAGGCGATTTAAGGTGGCTGAACACAGCTATTGATACCTGTGTTTCTTTCACCATTTTCTCTAAAACCCTTGATATCTCGGTCGCCAAAATTGGCAGCAAGCAAGTTAACAACACAAACTTTGTTTTTGCGATAGTTAAGCTGACGTAGGTGCTTTTGCCATGGCGACATGAGTAAATATAAACAGGCCTTTAAAATCGGTTTTGTTTCTTTGTAGAAAATCTAGTCATTAGATTTTCTTCATAATTTGCATGCAACGAGCTTGTAACGATACTCACAAGTTAACACTATTTTGCTTACAATTTAACAGAGAATTTCCTTTGTTAAAAATCATTTTTTTCAATACTCCAGTTACTTATTTCGTAAGTATTTTCGCGCTAAATTTCGTGTAATTCTAATGAGTGTTTCTGAAGAGATAGGCATATTTCCGAGAAAGCAATTTTCCATTCAATCGCAATTTTTTGACTTACTACGCATGCGCTGTATTTAACTGGGTTCTTTCGGTGACGACGAAAAAGCTGAGAATTGCTGGGTTCTTTGCACCGTTAACTTTTCCAACCGATGTCTTTGTAATAAAAGATTAAAGCCCTCAATACAGTACGCAACTGATAGGGAAAAATAGCAGATAGTGCGGATACGTGTTGAGTAAATAAAACGACCACTCTATTGACAAAATGTTTGTTTTTTGCAATCCTTGTGCGCGCGCTGAATTGCATCAGCAAAAGCGCGCGCGAAAACTGTGTTCGGCCACCTTATTTTTAGACAGTGGTAACGCCAAGACCGTTTGAGTTACGATTGCGTGACCTCTTCACGTCACACATTACTCAAGCATTATTGGTTGGTTTTTAAAATGACGTACACACGCGGCTTATATAAAGCTCAAGTACTTCTGTCGCCATCGATTTCGGAGGTTACTTTACAGATGACAGTTTTTGCACAACTTCTTCCTTCAAAAACCACCAGGTAACGTAAATAAGACTACTCTTTAACATGTAACCATTACCAATTTTATTAACCAATTTTCCAATTAACCTTATTGTTCTAATTGACCTGGACTTAATTAACTATATAATTTTAGTATACAAACACAATTTTAACCACGAATCGCTCACTGCTCAGTTAATGCGAAATTTCTCCAAAAGTTTTTGCTAAAAATGGTAGGATTTTTGTTCTGAAATTCTAATGGACATTGAAATTTCGTCAATACAGATTTATCTCTTGTGGTGGAAAGGAGTTCTTCCGTCAAACAGAAGTTTGAGAATATTACGCGTCGAGAAATATTATGAAAAGCAAACTTTCAAGTTTGTTTACGTTAGCTTGAGATATTCATAAGTTCAAGACTTATGAAGACTTTTGAAGTCCTTCATCTAGAATGTATTAGTTTCCAAATCACTTTAGCTTTATTTCTCTTTCACAGTTTTTTTTACTTATCTGTTTTTTTTTTTTTATAATTTCGTTTAGCGCGAGTGTATTTCTCTCCATATCGGACAAGCTGGAGTCCAAATCGGCAACGCTTGCTGGGAGCTGTACTGCCTTGAACATGGCATTTTTCCGGACGGTAAAATCAGCATTCCATCTAGTGAAATCCAAGATGATTCATTCAACTCCTTTTTCAACGAGACAGTAGCGGGAAAGTTTGTTCCTCGCGCCATTTTTGTTGATCTGGAACCAACCATGGTGGGTAAGTCGCTCACATATTGATGAAAATATCCTACTTTGATTTGATCTGAAATTCGCTTCCATGACTGCCTTAAGTATGACGGCGTTTATGAAAAGAAATATTTTGACAGGACTTACGAATTAACTTTCAATTTTGCCGGAGCGAACTTTTTCTTGGCTTTAATTTAGCAAGATAAACCAACATACTTGTACATAAATTCTGGTGAATCGAAGAGCAATATTGTCTACTAACAGTGAGAGCTTCATCATGAGAAAAAGTGATTTAGCGCTCGTTAGCTGCTGTGTAGTTCTCGCTTTTCCTGCCTTTTCTCCGATGAGGATTATAGTCATCTTTCGGTTCTAAGCTTAGGGTCATGCAGAACCCCGTTTGATATGGTGTGTTTTTCCCTTTGGTCTTGCTTTGCTTTTGTCATTTGCAAATTGCTTTTGCTCGAGAGAAGTCCTTAAACAAGGATATAGACAATTAATCTCCTCTAAAAGAATCCACCCCAATCGTCTCAAAACTTCAACTAATGTCTTAGAGATGGTCAGGACTTTGACCTTCTATTCAAAAAAAAAAAAAAAAAAAAAAAATTGGGAATTTGCAGATAGTCGCCAAAGAAGCATCGAAATCAATATTTATCCATAGCTTTAAAATTTAAATCAATCCCATTTTATTAATAAAGCAGTTATTTACAATTTTAAACCTTATATCTAACTATTTACAAATTGTAAAAGAATTAATATCAATGTTCACGATAGAAAACTAATTACAATATATGAGAAAGGAGCTTTTGTTGTTGTAGCTGCTCTTATTGTTTTTGTTTTGTGCTCTTGTTATCGTATCTGTTTGTTAGCTTTTTCGCGATTTAGTTGTTGTCTCTATAAAGATTCAATTTTGGTGATCAATGATCGCGTTTTGTCCGCAGACGAGGCCCGCACAGGAATTTACCGAGAACTCTACCACCCTGAGCAGATGATCACTGGCAAGGAGGACGCCGCTAACAATTATGCTCGCGGACACTACACCATCGGAAAGGAAATCCTCGACCTGGTGATGGATAGAATCCGAAGAATGGTCAGTGGTTTTTCGAAACTACTGTAAGGGTGGACTTTATTTAGATATCATGGAGTGTGTTAGTAGAGCTTGGCCACTGAGGCAGATATGGGAAGGGAAGGAATGGTAGTGAAATTGCTTTTGGAGGGGGAGACTTGAAATATTTTGTAGGTTAGGCTTGCTGTTGACTGAGATGGTGTTTTGGGGACATTATGGGAAGTGCGATTTGGAAATGATCAAGAAAAGTTGGTTTGAGGTTTGACCCGGTCGGGCCCTTCCCCAAATGAAATGGCTCACAGATTTACTTCAGGGAGGGAAAAGAAAAGCATAAGAAAAGAATAAAAAATAAGCAAAATCAACAACAACAACAAAAACAATCGAACAAAGAAAGCCCTAGAGACAAAAATTAATAGAAAAAAAACAAACAAACAAAAACAAAGATATGAAAGAAATTGAGGAGCTATGGTGGCAGATAAAAATGATAAAAATTGACGAAACAGAAACGAAAAACTAAAGAAAAAAACAACAAAATCAAAATAAAGAGAAAGTTCACCACCTCCACAAAAAAGATCAGAAGAATGAAGGACTCGAGACTTAAAATCCTTCATTGTTTTAAAAAGAAAATCCCGTGATGAAAGGTACATCCGTGGGTGATTTCATTTGCCCCTTCCTGCGGTCAATCTCACACTGAATAGAGAAAGAAAATTACATGTACACCGGCACACACTCATAAAAAATTTCCGACTTTTTAGGACATGTTTTAAAGGACTTCGAAAGACCCATTAGTGATTATCGGCCGTTGAGAACTGTCTCGATCTGTCTTTGTATAAACCCACGGCTGTGGGCTCAAAATATTTGTGATTAATTTTATAACCCTCTTGCGGGGAGGGTTCGTGCCATGTGGGGCGGTTTTTTCGTTTTAAGTTTAGTTTCAATTGCAGCCTTGTGTTTAGACATATTACAGGCGAGTTGGTTCTTGACGTCTGCGCTACCGTTCTGCCTGCCTCAGCGCTTGTCTAGCTTTGGTTAAATGATGAAAGTTTAACAGGAGAGTCTGCGGTCTAGGAGTGTCTGAGGTTTGCCCTTGGGTAGACGAGAAGACTCCTTACTGTAAGGAGTTTTCAAGTCTACCCAAGAGCTTTGGTTTATATTTTGCAGGCTGATCAGTGCACAGGTCTCCAAGGATTCCTTCTCTCGCATTCGTTCGGTGGTGGGACAGGCTCGGGATTTTCTTCTCTCCTCATCGAGCGCTTGGCTGTCGATTTCGGCAAGAAGTCAAAACTGGAGTTCTGTGTTTATCCTTCACCCAGAGTGTCTACAGCAGTGGTTGAACCTTACAATGCTGTGCTGACCACGCATTCTACTCTGGAATACGCAGACTGTTCTTTCATGATGGACAACGAGGCCATTTATGATCTCTGTCGGATAAACCTGGATGTTGAACGACCAACGTATACCAACCTCAACCGTCTGATCGGGCAGGTGGTGTCCTCCATCACTGCCTCTCTTCGTTTCGTTGGCGCACTGAATGTCGATCTGACTGAATTCCAGACCAACCTCGTGCCATATCCGAGAATTCATTACCCTCTGGTGTCCTATTCTCCCATCATATCCGCAGAAAAAGCCTTTCACGAACAGCTTAACGTGGCAGAAATAACCAATCGATGCTTCGATCCGTCCAATCAGATGGTCAAATGTGATCCGAGACATGGACAGTACATGGCTTGCTGCATGCTCTACAGAGGTGACGTCGTCCCCAAAGACGTAAATGCGTCAATTTGCGCCATAAAATCCAAACGCACCGTGCAATTCGTCGAATGGTGCCCGACAGGTTTCAAGGTGGGAATCAATTACCAGCCCCCTACGGTTGTCCCCGGCGGGGATCAGGCCAAGTTGCTCCGGGCGCTTTGCATGCTTAGTAACAGCACTGCCATCGCCGAGGCGTGGGCTCGTTTGGATCACAAGTTCGATGTGATGTTTACCAAGCGCGCGTTTGTTCATTGGTATGTCGGCGAAGGCATGGAGGAAGGAGAGTTTATTGAAGCGCGCGAAGATCTCGCTGCCCTGGAGAAAGATTACGAGGAGGTGGAAGCTGCCCAACCTGATGACGATGACGATTATGATTATTGACTGACAAAACGATGAAAGCGGAAATAATAAAGCCCCCTTGGAGTACATTTTACTTAAACAAGCTAGCCTGCAAAAAAAACCAGAACATCTGAAAAAAATAACACGCGGTGTAAAAATAGGCTGAATAAGCCTGCTTTTACACATCATTCGCGAGCCAACCAAATGTTGCGGCCACATACCCGCACCCAGACCTTAATCAAAGAAATGAATTGTAATTGAAAGAAATCAAATGGCAAAGTATCAATTTAGGACAGAGTGATAAAATGTAGCTGCAATATGGGAGACTGGTGGCTAAAATTCTTGTCATTTGTTCAGTTAGCCATCACGTTAAGGCTGTTCGTTGCGTCTGACAACTTCACATGGTTTGTGAAACATCGATTTTTAAACACTTTTGGAATCGGAAGGGGTAGATTGTGATACCTCACTTTAACTCTACTGCTAGGAGAATTAGTTTTCATGCTGGTAACTGAAAGTATTTAAAAGGCTGTGGTGTATTATGACCCTTTTTTTGTAACGAGAATAAAGCTGGCTCCTAAACAAACACCGTATGTGATGCTTTGCGCTTTTCTTTGAAATTTAGAATACTGAGCCCCATTCATTACTTTCTTCTTCTTTTATGATATGAACTGTAGCTTGTGCTAGGCCATCAATCAACGAAGACGGGAGAGGGACAGCAGGCGAGCGAGCAAAAATTGGTGATGCTTGGAGCACAGTGTAACATTACGAGGAATTCCCTGATGGGGTGGGTTCTCTGAGGGAAGCCTAAAAACATAAGTAATTGACCACTTTCAAAAATGGCTGCCGGATTGATATTCTTTTGTTTAAATTTAAATTAGCCTTTCTGGCCTCGCTTGAGATAATGTATTCTTTTGAATTTGTACTAGAGAACGAGGCCAGAAAGGCTAATTTAAATTTAAACAAAAGAATATTAATCCGGCAGCCATTTATGAAAGTGGTCTATGAACTCGGTTTTCTCTGTGCTCGTAACTTTCGATGCATCGTCTTTCGATTAAAAGGAACACAATATGAACAGTCATGATCGCAGGTTTCCTTAGTCTACACTCATTCCCAGTTGTTCCTTGTAAAGATTTGATGAACATTCATTTCGTCCAGGAAAGGTAACAATAGCATCATTTTACCTAGCCTTTTATGGCCGTTGAAGAAGAGGCCAGGTCGGTTATGGGAACAAAACTGCGTTGGTGTCACAGGCAATAATTGGTTACTTTGTGGAAGACGTTTGACTCGACCAAAAAGTATGGAAAAGCAGTCGAGTCACAATGTAATTTACGATGATTCTAAATTAACTTTAAAGTCCAGATAAGAGTCAGTAGCAGGTGCGCAGAAGGGATTAGAGTTTATACTTTGCAGGCGTGAAAGAATTGAGACATTCAACGGTCAGCCTTGGTTGTGTAGGGTTACGTTTCCTTTTAATGTAATTCAATCATTTGGAAACAAGGATTATGCTTTTCTAGAATTTAAATTCTGTGAAAAGTGACTTTAGTGCAGCAGAGTAAAGAACTCCTTTCACTCAGGAGAGTTTAAAACCCCTTGGGATGTACCACTGCATTGATTAGGGGTACCGCGGTAAATGGTTTGAACCCGGGGGTAACGTGTGAAAGTGTAGTGCGATCGTCCAGATGAGTGTAGCCCTAAGGACTGTTGTCGGTTGTGGTGACTGACGTTTCGACAACCTGTGCGGAAGTCATAATCAGAGTCAAGTGAATAGTTGTTATTGGTAGAATGCTGAATAGGGGTGCACGTTCCCTGGTTTGTGGGGGGTTTTCGTGTCCGACTCTTGTACATTTGCTCATCATATCAACATGGCTGATAACGTCACTTATGTTAACAGCTAAATAAGCTGCAAGGTAGCCAAGCTGGGGTACGCGCGCCAACGTCACACTATAACGTGTCTGATGTTTGAGAAGTGAACGCAAAGAGAGGAAGTTATCTCCTCCCAGAGCCCCCCCCCCCCCTGGGAGGGTATCAACCTTGAGTCGCCTCAACCACAATACTACGATACTTATATGTATACGATGCATCAGGTGTGTTAAGAATTGAACAAATAATTTACTTCTAAATTCCCTTACAATTGTACATAAGAATTGTGTCATAATTCCTCTTTCTCGCTGGAGTCACTTTTGCTATTTTCCTTCTCTTTTTCATCGTCCTCGTCGTCATCATCCTCTTCCTCATCTTCATGGTTCACAACTGCTACAGTTACAACAGAAAAGAAAAAAGACAAAACAGAATAAACAAAACAAAATAAAACAAAAATAAACACACATGACACTGCAACAGAAACAAGACCAGGCAGAACAAACACTCTTCACGAACTGTACACTCGTCTTTTAGCAAGAACAGTTGACACCGTTTATAAAGAAACAACAGTTGAAGTTCTGCCTCTTCTTGGAAGAGAGACGGTAGCGGAAACACGACAGAAAGAGAAGCAACAACAGCAAAAGTGACACCACACAAGTAAATTTATAACATAACCAAAGTAAAGCGCGCGCTCTGATTGGTCAATTTAGCGTCCCCCATTACTGGTCACGTAAGATTTGTTAAATAAAAGGGAACTCTTTAGCTACAATGTATCAATGTTATGTTATAAAACAAATGGTAAACACCACACCGTACACTATAGAGTTATGGATGCACTTGGGAGGTTTGCTAAGCACTCAAGAAGCTAGAGTCGCTCTCGGCTATCGCCTCGAGCGACTCTTACGCTTCTTTCGTGCTTAGCAACCTCCCGCGTGCATCCATAACTCAATAGTTTACGCTGTGGTGTTTACCATTTGTTAAATCTGAATTAAAGTAGAAAAGAATAAGTCAAGTTCTTAGTGCAGTGTAAATCGAATTATGTGACACTACTATGTAGCTAGTCACACAAGGAATACCCATAAACTCCTGCAACTATTATCTTTAACAATAAGTTTTTTGAAAGGATTTGTATCCGCAAAACGTTCCTATAAATTGTTAAAGTTTAGAAACAGCGTAAAGTAATAATTGTTTCTGTAAAACCAAAGCTCGATGGAAAGATAGTTAAACTGCCTTTTTCAGCTGAAATAAAAGGTGCTCTTCATTGACATCTCAAAATCTTTTCGTTGTGAAATGTCTTTAAAGAGCCAAGGTTGTTTAGGATTGCAAAGTTCCTAACCTAAACCAATTATTGCAAACAACGGTCCTCTATCCTGATTCGATAGATTTATTCATAATTATATTAAACTTCATGTGAATCAGGCTATATTAACATCTTAAACTGACAACCTCCTGATCTCCCTGTGCTTAACTCTCTGTGTTGTTTAGAGAATTTTCATCAAGCTTGAAAAAAACGTTTATACGATATCGGAAGAATCCGTACCTCGCAATCAACTGAAACTACATGTAGAACTCGTAAAGTGACAATGGTATAACAGCTACATGTGGCTCAACCTCGGGGGTAAGAACAGAAAAAAAGAGGGGAAAGGGGGGGGGGAAGTCCAACTGTGCTAATAAACCTCTCGGGAGATACGACTAAAAAAGTGTTTTGCTCAAGAAGCTTCCAATTGAATGGTTCTAATTATGCAGACATTGCATTTCATTCCCACCATCGGACCCCCCCCCCCCTGCATCTATCACGCACAGTCCTATTGCTACCTCGGTTGCCACCTTCTAAAGTACCACCAAATGAAAGCATACACAACAGTCATAGCAACAATAGCGACCAAACTGCGTTTCATGATAGCAGCTATTACACAAGCGAAAAATAGTGCAAATAAGACGGAGCCAAATTTCATTTGCATTTCGCTGAAGTATTCGCCACTTTGTAGCACATCCGCAAGCTCTTCTTCAACAGTCTTTTTGGTTTTCTCCGTCTTCTTTTTACCTTTCTTTTTGACGCATTTGTCCCCGTCACGTTTGAAGCCTTTCTGACAATCGCAGGTGAAACTACCCGGCATGTTTCGGCACTTTTCTGAATCTCGGTCGCAGCTGTGCTCGTCTGAGGAACATTCGTCCTTATCTAAACAGCAACAAAAATGCTTTTTCTCCACCTTGAAGATTTCTAGTGGAAAACTATGTGGCCCAACGTCTAGCAAGCTAGACTTCGGATCAAAGCGATGTTTATCAAGCTCGACTTAAGATCACACCGATGTTTAGCAAGCTGTACTTCGGATCAAACCGATGTTTAGCAAGCTAGCCTTCGGATCAAACCGATGTTTAGCAAGCTTGACTTCGGATCAAACCGATGTTTAGCAAGCTAGCCTTCGGATCAAACCGATGTTTAGCAAGCTAGACTTCGGATCAAACCGCCCGGGCACGTGCTTTAGACAGGTAATTATGTTCTCCCTTCTCTTCCACCAAGAGGGTAAGCGCTCTAAGCTGTAACCGTTTTGTTCACCATGGCGAGTGGAAAAAAAAGTTTGGTAACTGAATTTTCAGCAAAGGTCGCCAAGTCGACAGGCGTTCGGTGTGTTCTCCTACTCGCTTTGTGCTGAGGAAACTGGGTTAAGTCATGACAGGTAGGTAGAACCGCCGAGTTTGCGTTCAAACTTAATACTTGGTATTTTTTTATAATAGAGAAAGCTTTTGGTTACCTTTACATTCATTCTCGGTCATCTGATAGCCACTGCTGCATTTTGTACAACCCCGAGATCCCTCTCCAATGCAAGTCTCACAAGCAGAGTGACAAGCTGCAATAAAAGCACAGTGAATTAAAAATCAACTTCTCCTTAAAATATCAAACGTTCTCACAAGGACAGGTAGAAAAAAAAATTTCAAAGCCATTTCCCCAGTTATTCATTTTAGACCAAGACATACACAAAAATTTCTTACTTCGACAAACATAGGATCCGGGGGTATTGTCACAAAATTTTCCACCATCGCAGATGGTTGAATTCTCGGCACACTCGTCCACATCTAAGGAAAAAAATAATAATTTCAAATTCATTACATATTTCAAAATATATTAACTACTTATTCAGTCCAAAATTCCGTTTTCAACAATTTGCCAGGCGCTAAGGGATGGCGTTCCGTATCTGCGTCTTTCGGGAATTTATACCGGAAGTAACTTTTTCATACCAGACGGAATTCCCATGTTCCCTTAGACAATCCCCCCTCCACCCCTACTCCGAGTAGTCTACAGCTGAGGTTTAATTCAATACGAAAGGTCTTCTCTAATTCAGTAATTTTCACAACTGAGTTTTTTGAAACTTAAGCTGTCTTCTCAAAAGTGCTGAGAGCTAAAAGCGTATGAAGCATTTTGGAACTAGTAAAGTCTTTGGCGAGACAAATTTATCGCATCGTAAGTAACAAAGCACTACCTATTCAACCATTTAACCACAGCAAGTGCCTGGTATTTAATTTCCCCTAACAATATCACACACACTGAATCAAACACAAAAGTCACAAGAGTTCAGTAAGTGATCATCAACTTGAGAAGCTCTTGCTTGTCGAACAAATCTCCTTGTCAATGCCGTAGGAAATGTACAGAGAAAAGTATGGAGAATATGCATACGGTTGTTAAGGTGTAAAGGGATAAAAGCTCTAAATCCAGCGCAAACCGTTAGGATTACCCAATTAACCAATTAACCAACCTTTACATTCCTCCTCGTCGTTCTTAACATAGCCGCTGGCACATTCAATACATCCCTTAGGACCCTCTCCAGTGCAGTTGCCTTCACAGGAATCATCGCATCCTGAAATGAAGCACAGAAGTACATTCAGTTTGAAGGGAATTTTAGTTATTTATCATATACTAAATAAGCAGTTTGAGCCAGCGAAATTCTAACTTGTTTCTAAGACGCGGTCAGCGGAGAAAACCGACAGTGCGGAAGTACTACGGCTGGCGGTTTTCAGAAAAATCTTAGCGAAATCCCTACCATTTTGCAACCGGTCCGCCAGCTCTTTCCCTTTCCTTCAATGACTGAGAACCTTGCACAAGTTAGCAGAGTTAGTCCTTCAATAAACACAAGGTGAGGGCCATTCATTGATGTTTCAGGTCTTCGAATGAAAGTTTGGTATCAACCTCGAGACTACGAGGGTGCAAAAATGATCAAACAATGGAATATAAATGCAACGAGTATCAATAAATTCACCACATTTAATGGGTCAGAAACATTACCTTTACAAGCATACGATCCTGGATTATTCACACAATACTGTTCTTCTCCACAGATGTTTTCTTCATCACATTCATTTTTATCTAAATAAAATAAATGCAGGAATCAAAAATATTGTTTTGGGTTCGCTAAGCGCAGTTTGTTTTCCCACGCTTTCTCCCACTACTTCATTTTTCCCGCGCTTTGTGCTGTCTGTTTCTCTCCCCGCGCTCAACACCGCTATGTATACTTTCCCGCCCTTTATATCTCTCTGCTTAATAAGCATTATAATTTATACTATCACACTTTTGTCACCAGTCTGCGTGTTTTCACGTCCTTGCCACCGCTGCCAACATTTTTCCGCGCTATGCTCTACATGAATGTTTTTCCCTCGTTTGGCTTGAGTTGTACGTTATCCCGCGTGTGCGCTCAATTTTTTTCCCTTTTCTCTGTCTGTATGTTTCCCGCACTTGGTATTCGTTGTTTGTCAACCAACGCTACGTGTCCCTAAGTTTTCCCAGGTTGCTTGCACGATAATATTTCTCTTTATTATATGGCTGTGTCTCACAAGGACTGGGAACTACCGAATTCACGAATTTGATTAGCTGAAATCAAATATTGAAAGCGGTCTAGATTTTTCCATCTAGACCGGCATCTAGACCAGTCTAGAAAAAGAAACTACAAAGAATAATTATAAAAAATTGGCATATAAGACACAGCCATATAATAAACATCTTATTAACCGAGCTAGGTCGGTCTGTATGGGAGAATCTTGACCTCGGTCGCTGGTACAGACCTCACTGCGTTCGGTCTGTAATGGCGACCTCAGTCAAGATTCTCCCATACAGACCTCCCGCTCGGTTAATAAGAACTAAATAACTCTCAGTGCTGTAGCTGTGCATTTTCCCGCGATTTTAATCGGCCAATTGCTTTCACCCGTATTCCTATTGGCTGCCCTTTTTTCTGAACCTTTTTTTGTTACCATATGAAAATAGGGCAGCTAATTAGTGAGCATTTAAAAGGGCCTCTTGCTGCATCGATCAGATCACCCTTGATGAAGGCACAAGACAGGAGTGTCGAAACGTTGGGTCGATGAATTGTAATTTCTCCAGTTACACTCATTAAATCTTTCAACCAGAGTAGCATCAAACTATGTCTGATGGAATTAGCTACAAGCCAAATACATTTTTCAACAATACCTTTACATCCTTCCTCGTCTGTCATATCCCAACCTTCTTTG